CCAAAGTCCTAGAAATAAAGAAAAAGATAACCACATAATATGTAAAAATTATTTAAAAAATGATTACTACGTTAAAAGTCTTCAGGAAGGCTTTTCACAGCATAAATTGAATTATATGGGTTCTCTCAGTAGAGGGAGCCTTTGTTTTCATCATGTACATTTGTATTGTATAGAATGTAACAGATCAATATTAATTATTAATTTTATATACCTTTATAACAACACAGGAACACCCAACAACTTTCCTAGCTTTACCAGCACTGTCAATTTTACAAAGACCAGCCCATTCACCAAGTTTCTTGTTATTATCTACCCTGATTAGAGGAATCTGATGTTCATTGCATAATGCTTGTACTAGTTTCTTGTACATAGGTTCATCACAATTTTCGGCTAATATACAAAGCATAGCTTGTCTTCTAAAATATTACAATCAAATATAAAATAATTTATACATGTTACATAAAAAGATAATAATAGTAAAGAAAAATATTAAACAAACTTACTTATCTAATGCTTTGGCAGCTTCATGAAGACCATGCACAACACCGTCATGAATAAGGGCATTTTTAAGAACTTCTTGGAGGGCAGTGTTTACATCCATTGCTCCTCCTGCTGCCATCGCAGAAGGGACATCATCGCTGAAAAGTAATAATAAAATAATTACATCCAATTTCTTTAGTATTCTACAATAGATTCTTGACATACAAATGTAAGGTTATATTGGATTCGTGTATTCAATTACATAAATCAATAAGAATAATGGGATAGCTTTTAAACAGGATACAGCAAATATTATTTAGAATGCGAAGTCATATTTTTTTAACAGGCATGTTATTATTAATATACTGTTAAAGGAATATATAAAGTTACTTACTTCTCCACGTCTGACATGTCTTTTTACGTGATAGGGTACTGAAATAACAAAAAAATGTTAAAGATTTTCTTTTCAAGTTCACACTGTGAAACTTTTTCACACAAAAATTATGGTGATGTCATTATAAGAAACTGATTTTCGACACACTGCAACGCAACGTGGTCTCGTTTACCTTTTCTTGTGTAGAAAGAAAAATGGCGTTTACAAAACCATAGAGATAATACACATAGAGTAGGGGAGTCAACATGGACCCAGTGATGTAAGATTTGCGGAATTTCGATCGCAGCGCGTACGGTGAAGAAAAGTGGAACTACAAGTCTTGATGTAAGCAGAGAGGAAATGAGAGTGCTCACGGCCGGGTTTTGCGTGTTCCCCATACTAGTGCTGCCCCCAGCTTTTTTTTGCAGGGATCTGACACGTTCAGTTCAATGTTTAGCACCATCGAATTGGGGACACCGGCTGGGGACACCGAAACCGAAACCTGGGCCGTGAGCACTCTCAGTCATAGCATCTCTGGTCATAGATAATATCAGAGAGAAACTGAGAGCGCTCATGACGAGGTTTTGGCATCCTCCATACTAGTGCTGCCCCTTGCGGTCAACTCGGGAAAGGGGTCCACCGTAGCATATTCCAGAACTTTTTTAGCAGAGATCTGCCCTGTTCGGTTCCACCGTAGCATAGACAAGAATCGGGGCGAGGTCCACCGCAGCATATACACAGTGTAGGCTGTACCAGACAGTATGAAGATGGGATATAGGAATATATATATGTATATGTCGAATGGGAATCGTTCGCTCGGGTGATAGCCGCAATAGCTTGGACGGACGAGCAAGTTCGCTGAAATACAGATGGACCGTTCATTTTGAAAGTCGTGCAAATCCATTTTCCCATATATGTTAATTATGTCAAGTCGGGAGATGTTTCTACTAATTTAACAATATGTAACTTGATTATATAAAAATACAAATTTTACTCGCAGAACCGCAGGTCAGGAAGTACACAGGGTAATGAAATTAAACGCAAGACAGATTTAATATGAAATTCGACATTTATTCAATAATTTTTTATTATAAACATCGGTCCGCGGCCGCGTCTTAAATCGACACTTTTAGCCGAGTGGATGAAATTTGTGTGCGTGCTGATGCGTCAGTGAAGCGAATTTTAAATTCGGCCGTCTTCGGACATCTTCGGAAAGAAGGTCGGAAACTTCGGTGCTGATTGCGTGAATCGAGCGCATCTGAAAATCACGGTCTCCTCTCCTCGAGGTTCGAAGTCTTCCAGGCTCGGCTCGGAGCCTTCGAAGCTCCGTGTGTTCGAAACCCAGGCACTTCACTTTTTTTTGTTTATTCGACAATTTACATAGTCGATGTATGCACATTGAATGGGGCAGAGGGAATCTACTACAACGGAAAATGTTTTTTAAGTTGCAGGTTGCAATAACAATGAAGAAATAAAAAGCCGGATAAGATGGTAAAATGTGCTCTTGAAGGAAATTCAACTTGCAATAAGCCATTCGATAGAGTGTCCAAAGCAAACGTCTTGTGCCAATTTTCAACCCTCTGTCTCAATCCGGAGGGTACTTATGGGGGTTAATCAGATTTAGCGGTTTTGCCATATTTCTCTTAATAAAGGTTTAGCCAGAAATCTGAAAAAATTCGCACATGTTCGTAAGACGGTACTCGAAATTAGAGAATCTTTTCAGATCTTTTCGTTGCGTAGTTTGGTCGTGAAAAATAAAAAATGCATAAATTAATGCTGATTTCATATAGAAATTGTCACGATTCGACATCATTTATATTTTTATGGTAGACGTGCCTCAACCCAACTATTATACCCTAAGTAGCTGGTTGCTGTAACGTTATCCTTTTTTAAGAGTGGTTCGAATCCCCAGTAACATTGATTAAAGAAAATTATTATTTAAAAATTTATTTGTATTATTGTGTACAAAAGTGTTTAGCAAAAAGAAATACGACTACNTCTATCGTCTGTCTATAACTCTATAAACAAACAATATAACGAAAACGATTCTATTAATTCGAATTGATGACTGAATAGCAGCCGTGGACTGTGAAGGATTATATGAAAGAGAATACTCTTTCCTTCGTTGCCCTGATTTGTCCGCACTGAATTTCGGCAAGCCGAAACAGTCCTCGCGATACGCCGCTTGCAATTGCACGCACAGCTACTGTGGCTGTACGCGGGAGTTCGGGTCGTAAATCCGCACTCCTACCGGCATGCACAAGCTCAGTACGCTTGCAAGCTGCACTTTCTTTTGGTGCACCTTCACCAGGGAGATCTGAAGCGCGTATTATTCGCGGAATTCTGCAGTATCGGGTGAAGATCCAATACCCACTGCAGGCCCTTGACGAATGCGCCGATCCCTCAACCGGCGGTCGACCAACAATTGGACACTGACCCGGAGCGTAATCCGCTGGCAAGATACGACCTCCTGTTCGTATCTCGTTCCTTGCAAATGAAAATCAGTGCGGGGGCAAGCTAAGTACGAATCGAAAGAAAATCTTTCGATTCGCTTCTTCGGAAGGTGAAAGGATTGCGAGGAACTGTAAGACAGTCTATGCCTCGTCCTTTCCTGCGATAATTTCAGCTTATAAATTCTTCCTTTGAGTAACAGTGAAATCAGTATCGAATTCGTCCGATCTGTTCACTTTTGACGGCTATGTGCTGACGGACCGCGGAGCTCCGCTTTTCCGTCGAGGAAAACTAATCCTCCGCTATGCGGCGTAATCGTAATTAGTCTGTCCTTTACTTTTACACATTGTGCGTAGAGCGAGAACACCTGTTCCGAGAATTCAAATGCGAATTCTCGTTATCGGTGATTCCGGGCGGCAAACGGTGTTGTTACTTTTTCTTCTGTTACGGCTCGTGTTGACTCATCGGTATAACAAACGTCGCACCCTTTCTTATACTCGAACAATTCGAAATCTAACGCTCTATTATAAATTTAATCTTATAAGGCCGAGAAAACTTCGTAAACCTTCTTATAATTTTAAAAACACCATTCTTTAAACGAATCTCATGTAATACGGATTATAGGGACCAGACATCTCAAACTTGCCCATTTCTTTACCGTTTCATGAAAGGGTTATTTAATTAAGCACGTTATTGATTAACTAGACTGAGATAATTTACAAAATTATGTCCTTTCATAAAGAAACGAAAGAAGACACTTTCCACACACATCCCCATTAACATATGTTGCATAGGAAATCATTAAAACGTGTAAAACGTCTTTTGGGAATTGGGAAAAATGCGTGCGAGCATTCGCGCGCGTGGCCATGCCAGTGCGCCTGGCAAGGACAAACCGTGCATCGTCTTCAGTACGCGCCTGATCGTAAAAATCGACCTTTTTTAAGTGCCTCAAATGTCGTACCAACCGCGCACAGGCCTAGTGAGTACGCGTTTTGGCTGTGCGCGGCAATTTGTTACTAGCTGTATACGAGAAAAACGATTCAGTAATTTTCGACATTCGGTTTGTTACATATGAAGTGATTTAGTTGTAAAACCGAATCGTTCATTGCGATATTGTTTAATTGAAATCAATTTTATGTGTTCACTCGTTTAAAGATTACAATGTCGGAAATAAGCTCAAAGCTTCTAATAACATTGGTAGAACAAAGTCCTGTTATATGGAATAAAGAATTAGATGCGTACAAGGACAAAAACGTAAATGAAACCGCATGGAAAGTAACATTTAACGATGACGAGGCATAAGAATTTCAGGCTAATGTTATAAACATAATACGAAATATTAAAAAGGAAGCAACAATTAGACAACCCCAACATAGCCATTATGAATGTGAAAATTGCAGAGAACAAAATTTTAACGATAGTAATACTGGATCGCTGGACATTAGTGCTACCATACCTATGAGGAGTCAAAGCTTTGACTTCGATCGGACTATTTCATTGTAAATAATTATTAAACTTATATTTCTGATATTTAGCTATTATATTTTTGTATATAATGACAATTTAAACATTAATGTTATAGATAATTAATAAATTAATGTGAATGTTAATTTAGAAATTAGTATTTAGGAAGCGTATTTACATCTATATTGTCTATCAATTAATTTATAATCCTGAAGTATGTTTATTAATATATATAATCTGAAGTTAGATAAATGTGGCGAAAATTCAAAAATGTGTGAACGCTGCTTTCGGTTATTATCGATTCGGTGAAATTACCGAATCGGTCAAAAAATCGGATCATGTGAAAGGGCTGTTACTGTGTCCACGATTACGCTAGCTGCGGCAGAACAGCTCATAAAGAATATATTGCAATGCTCGTGTGTTACAAGAGCCATACATATGGAACTCGTTCACTATTATATGACGAATGGGTTCTTAGCTGCATTTGAACGCTTTATCTCACGACGAAGTATCCCATCCTGGGTGCTCAGCGACAATGGAATTAATTTCCTAATTAATGGAGATTTCGATGTGCGAATTAATGGAGAATTCACTCGCTATTACCATTCGAATGAGATGCGTAATGAGTATTCCGAACTGCGAATAAAATGGAAGTTCAATCCGTGCGTCGCATTTCAATGATTTGCAGGGAGCTAACGTAAAATCGGTAAAACATCACTTGAAAAGAGTGATGAGAGAATTCACGCCGACAGGGAAAGGAATGCAGACGTTACTTTGCAAAATCGACGCACGTTTGAATTTACGTCCGACTGCCCCACTTAGTGACAGTGCAGATGATTATTCGGTACTTACGCCAGGTTATATTTTAATTGGACATGCGTCAAATGCACTGTGTAAGAAGTCCGTGGAAGAAGACGATTATGTAAATTACCCATAGACAACAGTTTGTCAAAACTAATGATTGAGAAATAAAGATAAATAAGCGACAGAAGGACAACAGGTGATTAGAATTTCGAATTCAAAATAGTTTGTATACAAACGTCTCCTGTATTCTCAGATTTAGAGAAGGGAGAGTAACGCTGTTTCGTTACCATCTCCCTTGTACCTAGAGCGGAAGGGAGTCGAGAGTTCTCGCGTTTCCACCGTAGTTCATCAGTTCTTTTGCGACGCGTTCATTAGACGTTGAGATGGCCGAAGAATTCTATCGGGAGTTGATCGTAACGTTCAACAGAGCATTGAATCTAGTGCCGTTAAACGCATCAGTTAATACGA